CTCTGGGATTTGCCAAGTCTCCATCAATAAACTAGAGAGGATTTAGGGAAGAGGTAATTGAAGGGGCTGGGGCCAGTGAGGAAAGGGGGAGAGAGGACAGGCGAAATGGAGATATTGAGCTGTCCCCAGCCTGCAGGGAGGGGGCCGCAGTTACGGGAAGTGTTCGGGGAGACGGCTATCAAAGGGTTTCCCGGGGTAAAACTGTCCAGTTGGAGCCCTGGGAAAGCCTGAACTAAGGGCCATGATAAAGCCCAGGAATTTGGAGTCAGGAAACTTCATTTTTGAGTCCTAGTTTTGAAAGCGAGATTACTTTGAGACTTTGGGTGAGTCACCTAACTTCTTTGCTTCCTCATTTGTGAAACAGAGATAGCTCAATTTGCTCCTAGCCACCCTGGTGGGAGAGTCAGCTCAAGCAAAACAGCTACTGAGTGGGATCTTGTAACCTGGCCCTGCTGGCCCCAGTTGACAGTCAGGGCTGGGACTAGAGACTTGAGTCTTCCTTCAAAAGGAAGAGCTGCACCATCAGATTCGCCCTGAGAATTTGAAACGAAATCAGGACCCATTGCTAATAGTCTCTTGACACCGGTAGAATAGAGTGTGGATGCCAGGCTGGGCCATTTGCAATATGAGGAAAGGAAGGGAAGGAGAGAGAGAAGACAAAAAGGCAAGACACCCTCCGTCCTGCCCCACTTTCCAGCTCCAGCTTACAGGGAGGCCCGCGGAACGCTGTTCCCTCTCCTCTCATCCGTGAGACGTCAGCATTCTTGCCACAGCCTCCGACTTTTCTATTTCTTGAGCCCTCCTGAGCCAGGCCCACATGGAAGAGGGGCTGATGTAAGGGGCTGAGCTCCAGGGCTCAGACCCAGAGTTCTAACTCCCCTGGGGGCACCATAGGCCTTTCACTTTCTCCCTTCAACTCCCCAACCTGCAGCCACTTCTGAGTGTCACTCTTTTCCTGCTCATTGTCCCCATTGCCACCCACAAAGCAGCCCAGGAGAGCAGGACTTGCTTGCCCTCCTCATGCTCTGCAGTTCCTAGCGACACCTGGCACACAGCAGGCCCCACATCTGAGGGCGGCGTGATGCTGTTCACCTAACCACTCAAATTGCTGGAAACTGCAGAGTCGGCCTCAGCTCTTCTCCTCCCTCATGCTCTGCTCAGGCACAACTTCCAGAAGGTTGCTGCCATCAGTCCTTTCTTCCCCATCGGCTTTTCCACCACCCCATAGCTTCTCACCTGGTGGGTACAACTGCCTCCTGTGCTCCCCCTGCTCTCAGCCCCTGGGGGACCCCCGGGGCACCCACACTCTGCAGTGCTGTCTAATCACCTCAGCTCAGCACCCTGGGCACTGGAGCAGTGCTGCACCCACCTTTCCAGCCTCATGTGCTTCACTCCTGGCTTCTTCCTTTCTGCTGCAGCAACAGAACTGTTTGATCCTGAAAGGGCTCATCTCCCTGCCTCTGTTCCCACTGTCCTTTCTGCCTGGAAATCTGCACTCACTGTACCTTTCCTGTCACCTCACTAACTCGAACTCATCACACTCAGCCGCTCACTGCACTCTTTAGATTCACGGAACTCAGTGCAGCTGTTGCTGGTTCAGTGTCCTCTTGTGGGTTTCCAGAATCCCTTGTGTTTCTGTCTTATCAGAGCATCTACCTCACTGTGCTGCGTTGTTCACTTGTCTGTGTGCCCTGTGAGCTGGTAACAAACAGCCTGGCACTTCCTATGAGTGCCAAGAAGTTTTGTGAATATTTGGGGCTGGCACAGTGGCTCGTAAGTATAATCCAAGCGCTTTGGGAGGCCTAGGTGGAAGGATCACTTGAGCCCAGGAGTTGGAGGCCCCGTCTTTATAAACAGTAAATTAACAACAGCAACAACGAAACTAGGCGAGTGTCATGGTATGTGCCTGTAGTCCTAGCTACCTGGGAGGCTGAGGCGGGAGGATTACTGAAGCCCAGAAGGTTTTTTTATTGTTGTTTGTTTGTAACATTTTATTTCATTTTAATTGTTTTATTTTTAATTTTATTTATTTATTTTTGAGACAGTCTTGCTCTGTTACCCAGGCTAGAGTGCAGTGGCGTGATCTCAGCTCACTACAACCTCCAGTTCCTCGGTTCAAGCAATTCTCATGCTTCAGCCTCCCAAGTAGCTGGGATTACAGGTGTGCACCACCACTCTCGGCTAATTTTTGTATTTTTAATTTTATTTATTTATTTTTGAGACAGTCTTGCTCTGTTACCCAGGCTAGAGTGCAGTGGCGTGATCTCAGCTCACTACAACCTCCAGTTCCTCAGTTCAAGCAATTCTCATGCTTCAGCCTCCCAAGTAGCTGGGATTACAGGTGTGCACCACCACTCTCGGCTAATTTTTGTATTTTTAGTAGAGACTGGGTTTCTCCACGTTGGCCAGGCTGGTCCCGAACTCCTGACCTCAGGTGATCTGCCCGCCTTGGCCTCCCAAAGTGCTGGGAAATACAGGTAGGAGCCCCGCGCCTGGCCTAAACATTTTATTTCATTCAACACAACACATTCCGGTTTTACCTTAAATATTTTTTTTAAGTATTTAATTTTCAGATTCTTCTTCTTTTTCTTTTTAAACTTTTATTTTAGATTCGGGGCAAATGTGCAAATTTGTTATATAGGTAAATTGTGTGTCACAGGGGTTCGGTGTGGAGATTATTTCATCACGCAGGTAATAAGCATAGTGCCCAATAGGTTATTTTTCAATCCCCACTCTCCTCTCACCCTCCACCCTCAAGTAGGCTGTGGTGTCTGTTGTTCCCTTTTGTGTGTCCATGTGTACTCAGTATTTAGATCCCACTTAAAAGTGAGAACATGTGGTATTTGGTTATCTGTTCCTGCATTAGTTTGCTTATGAAAATGACCCCCAGCTCCATTCCTCCTTGCTGCAAAGGCATGGTCTTGTTCTTTTTTATGACTGCATAGTATTCCATGGTGTATATATACCATATTTTATTTATCCAGTCTACTGTTGATGACCATTTAGGTTGATTCCATATCTTTGCTATTATGAGTAGTGCTGCAATAAACATACATGTGCATATGTCTTTATGGTAGAACCACTTATACTCCTTTGGGTATATATACCCAATAATGGGATTTCAGGGTTGAATGGTAGTTCTGTTTTAAGTCCTTTGAGAAATCACCAAAGTACTTTTCACAATAGTTGAACTAATTTACATTCCCACCAGCAGTGTATAAGCATTCCATTTTCTCTGCCACCTCGCCAGCATCTGTTATTTTTTGACTTTTTAATAATAGCCATTCTGATGGTATGGTATATCATTGCAGTTTTGATTTGCATTTCTCTAATGATCAGTGTGAAGCCCAGGAGTTTGAGGCTGCAGTGAGCCAAGATGGTGCCACTGCACTCCAACCTGGGCAACAAACCAAGACCTTGTCTCTAAAAAAATAAAAATAAAAATACACATTTGGAAGCAGACAGATCCGAGTTTAACACCTGCTCCTCTCTTTTCTAGCTATGTGACTTTGAGCAAATTGCTTAACCTCTGTTTTTTCTTTTTTTTTGAGACGTAGTCTCACACTGTCACCCAGACTGGAGTGCAGTCCTGCGATTTTAGCTCACTGCAACCACCACCTCCCAAGTTCAAATGATTCTCCTGCCTCAGCCTTCCGAGTAGCTGAGTTTACAGGCATCTGCTACCAAGCCCAGTTAATTTTTTTGTGTGTGTATATATATGTAGAGATGGATTTTCACCATGTTGGCCAGGCTAGTCTCGAACTCCTGACCTCGTGATCCGCCCGCCTCAGCCTCCCAAAGTGCTGGGATTACAGGTGTGAGCCACCGCGCCCAGCCGTAGCTGCTTCACCTCTATGAAAGAGATCATAATAACACCCATGTCACAGGGTTATCGGGGAAACTAAAGGCAGTGATGCACAGCCCTTAGCGCCGTGCCTGGCTTGTGGGGAGGTCTTCATCCACATTAGGTGCTAGTATAACTAAGAAAAATATTTCTACATGCTCCTGGGAGGGGTTGGGGGAGGTCTCCAAACATCAAAACAAAATCTGCGATTCCAAGGAAGAATTAAGAAGTCTTTTAGAAAACCACCACTGCCAAATCTTCCTTAAGTATTCCTTCAAGGAAGCTGGGGAACTTGTTAAGAAACCAGGCACCCAGCACAAACCGTGACTGAGATTTTAAAATGAAAACTGAATAGTTTCAAAGAACACATAGATCTCTGGGGGGAGGATGGGGAAGACTTGGTCGTGTTAAGGGCCTGGAAAGACCGGTGGCAAAAGGTAAAGGATCTAAGTGTGGCATTTGCTGGATGGTGGCAGTGCAGGGTGGAGATTCAGAGCCATGACCGAGCTTGCTTATGGAACCGGTGCCACCCCTCCAAGGCGGTCAGGTTTACTGGGCACCCCGGAAACGGCACTCCCTGACTTGTGTCGTTGGCCCTGGAAATTCAGGTAGAAGTCAGCAAGCAGATGTTTTCACACACCCTAAAGTGTGCGCAATTGGCAGCGGCTGCCCAGAGGGTTCCAAGAGAGTGGGAGCAATCCCCAAAGAACCCGGAGCAGGCTTGGTTGCCCGCCCCCCTGCCCTCGTCGCCCCTCCAGGAAGGCCTAGGGCAAAAGCGCTCTGGCTCGGGAGTCCACCGCTAGATCTAAGCAAGTCTCAGTCTCCTCCACCAGGCATTGGGTTTGCAGCGGGGTGGGGGGAAAACAATCTTGGAGGCCCACCCAAGCCCGGCCTCCCGGAGCCTCCCCCAGGGTTTGGGAACGTTCCAGTCTCGTTCCCTCTTGACGCCCCCGGAGCCAAGACGTGAAGGGAGTGCCAAGGCGACCGGGGGCGGCGAGCGGGGCCGCGGGTGCGCACCAACTCAAGCGCTGACTGTCAGCCCCGGCGGGCCGGAGTTCTCCAGCGCGGGGACAGGGGCGCTGGGGGCGTGCCCGGCGGGGGCCGGGTCCGAGGACCCGGGGCGCGGCGGCCCCGCCAGAAGGTCCGGCCGCGAGCGTGACCTCACGGGGAGGGGCCAGCGCGGCGGCCTGGGCGCTGAGCCGAGCGCTGGGAGAGCAGCGCCGAAGCCGAGCCGCGAGGAGCGCACTCCGTGGCCCCGATGGAGCGGTACAAAGGTGAGGGCGCGGGTTCCCCGCGCGGCGCACACCCACTCCCTTTCGCCCAGCAACGCCGAGGGCAGGGCTAGGACTGGTCTCGCCAGGACTCGGGATAAGCAGAGCCCGCTGCCACCACCCAGCCCGGACCTGGGCCGAAGAGGGGGCGACAGCGGCGCCGCGGACTGGGCGGGTGGGCTTCTAGGTGACTGCCGCGGCCCCGAGCCCTTTGATCCTCCCGGGCGCGGAAGGAGGGGGTCGTCAGTGGGGGGCGTGGCGGGGCTTCTCACCTGTTGCAGGAGAGAGGGTGCGCCCGGCACCCCACTCCACCGTCAGTTCCGCCGCGCGGTAAAGATGCCTGGGGCCAAGGAAGCCCCGAAGAAGGTGGGAACCGTGCTGAGCTGCTGGGGGCAAAGGGGCGGGGTGTTGGGTCCTTTCTCACGGTCGCCCGCTGGGCTAGGGGCTTCCTGCTCCGGGCAAAGCGTTTGGGCAGTGGAATTGGCGCGCAGACCCTCCCCGGGCTAGTTCGGGCCTCCCCAAACGTCCTGCCGTTTGGGTCACCGTTTATCTCCAAGCCCTTCTCCGCTACCCCACCCCAAGAAAGGAGAGATGCGAGGGTTGGGGGCCGAATGGTGTGCCCGGCAGGTGGAGCTCCTGGAGGCCTCCCGGCCCGAGGGCTTAACTCAGTGCGCAGCTGGGCGAGCTTTGGGTTTGGCTGGGGCCAGGATCTCCGCCAAACTCTGGTGGGCGGGCCGTCCCGGGTGCGCCCAGTGCCCAGCTTAGCACCCGCACTCGGAGCCTCGGAGCTGATCTACACGTCTCGATTGCGGTTCTTCTGAAAAGGGAGTACAGGGAATTGCCCCTTAAGCGGAACGCTGCAGGCGCTCCCCCTCTCCCATCCCCCCCACAGACCCCTTCCCTTTGGAAAAGGCTCTTGCCTTCTCTTGTGCTGGACCGGTCTCCGCCAAACCTGCGAGAGGAAATGCTGCTTCTATATTTGTTTTCCCCTGGGAGAGAGTAATAAAAAGAGAACGCTCAGATTCCCAAGGAACCTCACTCCCGGCGGGCTCTGATCCCTGAAACTGACATAAAGGGACCTGTTGGGACCGGCCTCCCTAAAGTAGTCATGTCTTTCACTTTCCCATTGCTTTTTCTCATCTGGGTCTCCTGGTTACTGGTGAAGGCAGAAGATCCAAGTCTCAGACAGCGCTTCACATATTCAGGAAGGATCTTTGCCGACAGCAGGCAGCCGGCGGGGGGGGGGTGGAGAGGGGCGGGGAACAAGGTTAGAGGAGTTGGCCACCTTTGATTTCTTTCTGTGAACCCTCTCTGGAGCTTCTCTCGCATTTCTAACCCAGTGATTTTCTTCGTCTCAAATTCTACTGGGATCACGTCAGTTTTGTGCTTGAATGACTGAATGCGCACTTACGCTGTCTCAGACACTTGAGGAAGCCACAGTCCTGCTCCTTGTAACATGGCCGTTTGCACTCCCTCCCCCACCGGGGCCCCTCCGCCCTTTGGGAGGGACCCTCTCTGGGAATTCAGGCCTTGAGTTGAGCCTGACAGGAAGTGTTGGCCTCTGGGGTGCCTTCCAGCTCCCTGACTTGCAAAGCTGGGTTGTGTGTATTGGAAGGGGGGGGGGGGGGGGGGGTGTTAGCTGTAGGCTGCAAGCTACTTTCTCAAATCAGCATATTCATCTCTCTAAATCAGGGCAAATCACATTCGGGGTCTTCTTTCCAAATGTCCAGTTATTCTCAGAAGGCTTTTGTATTAACAGCTTTTGACTTGGCCCTTGACCTGATAAAAGTCTCCTTAGTTATCTTTCTCTCTCAGGAGCTTAAAATCCTCCCATCCGCGAAGAGGATCAGTTAGGGGCGTTTTGCCAACTGAAGGGAACTTAGTTTTCAGGTCAGGGTGCTTGTGTTTTTGGTAACACATGTCTCTGCCTCATCATTTTGCAGTAAATCAGACACAGAGTGATAAGTGGGTAAACCTGAGAATTATCTAGGTTTCAGAGGCTAATCCAACTCAAATTCCAGTGTTTGACTCATGAGGAAAATCTTTATTTGGTCTCCCTGGTGTCATGCCGCTAATATGTTTACTACACTTTTCACTGAGGAATTTGGGGATCCCCCAGCCCCAGGATATAGAATTCCCCATTCTCCTGAGAGGCAGATAAGTTGTGCTTTGAACACCCTTTAAACGGAGAAGTTCGTCTGTGCAAAATGCAAAATGAAGCCCATCTCTAATTAACCAGTGTAACTGACTAGAATCAGTAGACTCCTCTTGCTTGTCGGAGACTGGGGGCATCATCTTAAAGTTGAGATTGAATGGTTATTGGGATAACGAGGAATAGTGGTTTAAACAACAAAGTTAAATGGAAAAAACAGGTTTATTTAGTTGGGCTCTTGAAGCCTAAGTAAAAATTGTAAAGAAAAATTCTTTTTATGTGTGACACTTTTTAAATGTGTTATTTAAATGCCTCTTCATTCTGTTTCTGTATTTCCAATTTTGAGCTCTCCCTCTCCCAGGTAGGTGGAAATGCCTCATGGCTGTCTTCAGAGTCTCAAAGTGTTTTCTCTAATTTGCAAATCTTATAAAGCAGTTCATGTAGGAGAAATTGTCTTTCCATGTTCCTTAGCCTGCTTGTTATATATATTCTACATCTTCCAAAAATAGCCTATCATTTTTAGGCTCTGAGTGGATTTTCCATTGTCTTGTAGGATGTAAAGTGAGGTCTGGAGTTGATGGGTGGTTGGAATATCACCCATGTGATATGCCTGATGCAGAGACACTTCCAGACTTTCTTCCCAGTCCCTTCCAAGATTTCTGCTAGATAGCCATGACTCGCCCAAGCAAAAATAAGGGATCAGGGAGTATGTGGGAGTCCCTTCCTAGAGAGATGGCACTTTTATGAGAGTTGCCGTAAATAGCGATGGTAAAGTGGCTGTGTTTTGTATGTGAATCTCTTTGGCGTTGTATAAGCAGTAAGACTCTCGCAAATGTCAGGATGTGGGGCCAAGTCCTACAGGGTGCTTTGAGAAGGTTCCCATCCTTATGTGTTTACATATTTATGACTCTCATAAGAGCATCCTTTTATCGCTGTGCGTGAGCCCATTGGCTGAACTCACCCAGTGTGGTCACGCATTCTGGTTCTGACTGCTCTCCCAGCTGGTGAGTGAGTCTGGGCCAAATGTGACTGACCTACTATCTGTGGATTGTGCTTGGAACATCCATGCCGAAGCTTCCTGAAATTGCATCACACTTGGATACAGATGGGCCTGGTTGAGATATTCAGATTCAATTTAGATCACAGTAATTGGTTGAAAGTCTAATCGTTCTTTCTCTGTGGTTCTTTTGTTTCTGAATTTGATCATCCAGTCCCCTGACTTAGCTCTAGGGCGCTGGAGGCAGATATGAACTGCAAAGAGTCAATCCAGTAAATACGTCAAAGTTTGTATGGGGATCCTGAGACCTGTGGTCAGGGAAGGCCTGGAAAAGAAAAGCAAATTAAAAGAGATGGGCATGCTACCTTCAGGGATCATCTGTATTTGTTATTTTTCAGTGCCTACGAACTCAGGTTTTTTTTTCTGTTGAAGTTCTACCTGAGGCAGTAGTTCTAAACCTTTGCTGTGCGTGGAATCATCTGTGGAGCTTTCAGAAATATGGATGTAAAGGCCCCACTCAAGACATTCTGATGTAATTGGTCTAGGGTACAGCTTGGGCACTGTAGTTTTTAAAGGTCTTCAGGTGGTTCCATTGAGCAGCCAAAGTTGGAAACCAAATTTCCTACAAAACATGAAATGTCAAAAGAGCACAACAGGTCTGTAATTTTACATATTTCCTCACCTGGAAAAGTAAAAGCAAGTGTGGGGCAAAAGGGATACCCCCCCATGCTCACATCATGTTCCTTAACCAAATCTTATAATACCGGCAGAAATCTACTGTAATCACCTTCAGCTATTAGAGGCTTTAAAAGGCTATGGGAACGTTGCTTAAAAACTATCTCAAATGTAGTGCTTAAAATCCTAAGCTCAGGGTTTGCTCCCTGTGCTTGACCCTGAGCTCCCTGACTTTGAAGTTGCGTGGGAGCCCTGGATGATGTGGCAATGAAATGGCCTGAAACAGAAATACTGAGAGGTCACTTTTGGTGCTGAAAGGCCAAGCGGAGTGGGGGAATTCTGCTTTGGGCCCTTCCTCTCTTCTGAAGGGGTGGGACCTCTGGGAGCTGGGCTGCTTCCAGCACAATTAAAGGGCCAGGAAAGGCCAAGGAGCTTCAAAGCTGAGGAAACTGTGCCAGTTTTCTTCCAATTCCCTTTAATAACGGGAAATGTTTCTTTAAAGGCTTCTGTCATTCAGGGAAGAGAGACTTCCCCCACGCCGAGGGAGGATGGCTTGTTCTGTTCAGAGCCCTGGCTGAGACATGAAGGCAGTCATGGTGCAATGAAGAAGGTCGCGGCTCAGGAACCTGGAGATCCACAGGCTTCATTTCCTTGGGCAAACTGCTGAGCTCTCCAGGCCTCAGTTTCCCCATCTGGAAAACAACCTCCGGTGTTCGTAGTGTTCCTCTATCTGACTTTCCAATGGCTCTTCGATGCTAGTTGTTCTGTGGTCACTGAGGAATCTTTGGAGAGAGGATGTGTCTTAGGGAGGAGAGGGAAATGAGGGAGGGAATGTGGGTGGGTAGCCCAGCAAAGGTCAGTTTAGGATTGTGATTCTTATAAATAAAACCAATTTCCTGTTGAGATCTGGAGAGTAGCAGACTTAGTGGGAAAGAGAATGCTGTAGGCCGTGTGAGGAATCCATTTCTCAAGGACTTTTGTGTGACCGTGTCTCCAAAGATTGTTCACTGAGCCCAGAGCTACCCTCTGCAACATGGAGCATTATTCACTCCCATTTGAGAGACAGACCTACTGAGGCCTACAGAGATTAAGCAACAGTCCAGACAGTCAGAAATAGGATATAATATCCCTGAGAACTGAGTCTCTAAAGGGTAGAATTCCTTTTCAAGGATTTATTTAGGAAAGAAGTGCTCAAAGCAATTTCAGATTCTTTCCTTATCAGTGTCCCTTCAGCCAGGAAGGGACTAGCTGCTCAGTTAAACTCTCCTCAATCTTCAGGACCTAGCTCACATGTCTCTTCACCCAGGAAGCTTCCCCTGACTCCCGATGTGTACCCTCATTACTCTTGGGATAGCCTCATTAATGCCTAGCACATCGCAGGTATGCAACAGATATTTGTGGAATTAGTGTCACATTTGTCTAATAATTGTACATGTCTATGTTTGTTTCCCTGCCAGCCTGAACTCCTTCAAGACAGGGACTTTGTCTTTCCTTATGTCCCTCTCCAGCCCCTGGCACACTGCCAGCTGCATAGTAGGTGTCTGGGACATGATTGGGGAATGGGGAAATGAACAAATTCCAGGCAAAGAGATCACATATTCTCCCATGCTCTAGCTCTGGAGAACAGACCTGGTTCACAAAAAGAAATGAAGCAAAATCCCAAAGGCAAATTCCAGAAATGGAGATGAAGGCCCACAGTGGCCACCTTTGGCTTTCCCGACTTGAGCCTTATTTCTGTCTGTTCCAGCACAGGGGTGTTGCTGTCTGGTGGTACAGAGAAGGATCCGGCAGGTTTCTGCATGTGAGTATGAGCCTGTCTGTGCCCTCTGCAGCAGCTCGTCTGGCCTCCAGGGCTCCCGAGGGCGCAGACCTGGCTCTGCCCATGCTCTGGGTGGATGGTTGAGGGAGATCATGGAGCTGGGCGCCGGCCTGGGCACTCAGGGGCTCGGAGTTCTAATCTGACTTTTGCCACTAACTTGCTATGCGACCTTGGGCAAGTCAATTAATCTTTCTGAGCCTTGTTTCCTCATCTGTGTGAGTGAGGATAATGATTACTAATCTACCTTGCAGGCCACTTGGTGGAATAACTTGTAAGAGCTATTGGTAAAGACCTTGAGAAAGAGAATGTTAAATTAATGCAGGGGAGCAGATACCCTGAAACCTCTGGCATGTGGTTCTGATCCCACCAGTCCCCGCCTTTGCACAGTTCATTGGGCTCTGCCCACTGTGTGCTTTTCACTGCTGTTAGGAGATACAAGTCAGGGCTTCTCAGCCTCTAGGCACCCTAGCTTCTCAGAGATAGCATCTGTGTATTCTTCATGTCAGTGGAGAAAGAGGCGAGGAATTGCTCATTCCTTATGTGTAGAGCGACATCCTAGCCCTGCCTGACTTTTCTCTGATGTCTCAGTAAGTCCATATAGGAGAGACCCTTACATTCAAATAGTAGCTTTGAGCCCTTTCCTAATTTTCTATCACTTGACTCTCATATTCTCCCCCGTTAGTTTCAAAAAACAAACTAACCACAAATAGCATTGAGCGGGGAGAAGGGAGAATGTGTAGAAAAACAGGAGGAGCCTGCCTCCCCCTGGACGCATTGCACTGGACTGATGCAAAAACACAGTGAGGCCAGGGACCATGGATCTCACATCTCTCAGGGGAGTCTGGTGTTAGGGAGGAGTGGGGAGAGGCAGCCATGCCCAGAGAAGCCCTGTTCTGCTGTTTTCTAAGCAGCCCCCTGAGTTCTCTTCTCACTTCCTGGAGCTCCTCCCAGGACTTCAAAGGCAGATACAGTCCTGGTGAACTGTGGTGAGCTTGTATGGAAACTCAGCCCCAGCACACTGCAAATCAGCCTTCTACTGGAGATTAAACCAAGAGAGGCTAGCCAGCTGTTAGCGCAGAGACAGCAACCACTGTGCAACAGGAAGAATCCAAGCTGGGTGAATGTACAGTCCTACCCTTGGAGGTGGTTTTCCCAAATTGAATGACGAGCCTTCCCAGCTTGCTTGGGACTTTCCTGGTTTTACCACTGAAAGTCTGGTGTCCCAGGAAACCCCTCAGTCCTGGGCCAACTGAGATGGTGAGTTGCCCTATTACTGGACCTAAGCTTTAGTAAAAGCTTCTGAATCAAGAGTTTGATTTCTCCATAGCAAAGATGAGCTAGAGCCAATTATTTTGTCTCTTTGACAAGAAAGTGAAAGTCCAAAGCTTAAAAACTGGCAGATCGTAACTTACCACTGGTGATACACACCAGTATGCTAAGTGAAAGAAGCATACTGCCTTTCAAGATTCAAAAGCTTACACACTGAATGATTCTATTTATATGACTTTCTGGAAACGGCGAAACTATACGGAAATAGATCAGTAGTTGCCAGGACTGGGACTAGGGGAAGGCGTGAGCTACAAAGGGCATGAGGAAAAGTTTTGGAATGATAGAGATGTTCAATATCTTTATTTTGGTAGTGGTTACACAGTCATACAGACTCATCACAATTCAGAACTGTGTAGTTAACAGTGTAGTTAACAGGGGTTTTTTTTTTTCTGTGTGTAAATGAACCTCAATAAAGCTGACTTTTAAAAACACTCTAGCAGTTGTGATGCTGTGGTATAAGATGAAGGATCAAGGTCAAGGTTGGTTATCCTGGGTTGTAATTAGCAACCGAGTCTTGGTGTGGGTGTGTCTGCAATGGTTCTGGAGGTGTATACAGCAGAAAAGGGTGAGAAATTTGGTACAAAACGAAAAGGCTCATGTCTGATGACATCCTAAATGCCAGAGACTTTTTCATTAGGCACAATCAGTGTTATAGTGGAAGCTCTCCCTTTGTTTAGAGAAAAGGCAAAAGCAGCTCCCCTAAAGGCCACGCAGCCAACAAGCCCAGGAGGAACCATGGAATATAAGAGCATTAGACTCAGGTTCCCACCCTGGGAACTCGGCTGCTATCCACACATGGATCTAATGTACTGACTTTGGCAGCCTGTCTGCAAGTCTTTTTTTATTTTCCACCAATAAAGTTATTGTATTAGAATTGAGTACTCAAGTCTGCAGGATAATTATTTCCTGGTTGACTTTTTGTTTTTGGCAGTCCTGCTTGTCTATGCTAGCTAGAATTGATTTTGAGGGGAAGAACCCATGATTTATCGAAATAACATACCTAGTCGCATTTGATGCAAGGAATTAGTCCTCTTATTTCTAGACAGCGAGAAGCCTTTTGATGCAAGGGCAGAATTACCAGTCATCTCTGCACCAGGCCAGCAGACAGGATGTAGAAGTCCCCAAGAAGGAAGAAGTATCACTCTGGTGATCCTAATGGAATCTTAAGATCTTGGTGGTCTCCTTTTTATTTATTTATTTGTTTTTATCAAAGCCCATGTTGAATTTGCCTGTTTTTCAGGTGAATTTTATCTCGCTGTGTACCCTGGGGAGCTGGGTCTGTGTCTGCATCTCTATTAAGCACAGCCTGTTGGAAGGTTGTGGAACTTCCATCCGTGAGGACCACATGGGCTGAGGTCACGTTCAACTGTGAATTACACAGGAGAATTTCACACATGCAACTCTTTTAAATCACAAACACATCAAAACCACTAGTCACCCACAAAGGCAGGTCTCTTCCTCCTGTTCCAGGGTGTTCTGGAAGAATTACAGACTCATAGCCAGTGCAATCCTCAGTTCTAATTGTCTTAGCTTTGTTAGGGGAAAGCACTGATGTTTAGAGAGGCAGGAAGTGTTTTTTGTGCATATTCGAAGTGAAATTTCCTTGATGCAGGGTGAGGCCTCGTTTGTGGCTGGTCTACCTAAGAAGGATCGGGTTTGGGGCAGCCCCAAGGCCCACATCTGGTTTGAGTGCAAGGGAGAAGCTGGGAGCTTATGAGTGGGAGATTCCAGATGCTTCCTTCCCCGGGCTGCACACCTCTGCCACAGTCTCCCCTGGGCTGCCTGGGCACACTGGCATCTGTTTGGGTTTGGGGGACTGTCTTAGCCTTCTTGTTAGCCCAACAAGTGGGAATCCTGCCATTTCCTTCCATCCTCCACCCCCCGTTTTTTCTCCCCCAGTTTTTATACAACAGGATTTATTCATGTCCACTGTATTCAAGTCCCCAGATGGGGGGAGGAAAAAAGATTGTGTTGAATGAGCTTATTGTTTGGAGGTTTCACTGACTTCTTTTATTTAATACCCACAGTCCTAGAACATATTGAGCTGATTTACTAAAATTCAAATGTGGTCCTTTTGGAAGGAACTGCTAGGGTGCTTCGTGTCCCTGGAATCAGAGCTGGGACCTACTGGGTGGCAAGTTTGCTTGGGCCATCTTCATGGTCCTGGGTCTCCTTGGAGGCAAATACTCTGTTACTATCCTAGACTCCTTATCAGCTCACAATGGTCAACACTCTACCACCTTTGCATTGTCAGGACTTTTGCAGCACTCGATTCTAGCACATTCTTTGAATGAAGATGAGCACCAACATTAGGTACTACAGTTAACAGAAGCCCCCCGTGGCTTCTGCTTGGCAGTTTCCTGCACACTTAGGGAGAATAAAGGATGGTGAAGTGGCACCTACTGCTTGAACACCCAGTACAGAGCAGCTGGTCCTTGACTGACATGGCAGAGTTGGATCACATGTCTTTGGCATGTTTTAGAGATGGGGTCCCTACCGTTGATGTTACCAGAATTGTGGCTGAGGATCATGGTGTGCATGGTGGTCAAGCACAGTTTCTGTATGGCTGTGACACAGTTGTGCTGTGACAATTCCAGATGTCTTGCTCCAGGTACTTGAGCTGGGTGAGACTCATGCCTCCCAGGAGTCGGTGGAAGCTTGTCTCTGGTTCAAGTTAGTAATATCCCAGATGTTCTGAAAGTAGCCTGGGGCAAAGCAGGAAGGGTGGATCTCAAAACCACATGCCCAGGTGTGAGTTATGGGTGCTTCAGGACGCCTCTTGGATGCGCAAGGTCACACTGGCTCCTGTACCTGCATCTCTTGCTCCCTCCCTCCCTCCCTCCCTCTCCTCTTCTCCTCTCTTCTTTTGTTCCCTGCTTGACTTTCTCCTGCTTTTTCACTCTGTTTCTTTCTACCACTTCCATTCAGGTCTCCAGGTCTCCTGGGTCTTGAGTTCAGAGAAGGGATTCCCACTGAGAACCTGAGGCCAAAAAGACACAGAGGAGAGTCAGACCCTCCCACTCTCTCCTGGTCCCCAGGCCTCTGGTGGTCCCAGGCTCTCATTTCAAATAGCCATGGCTTGAATTCCAGGCTTCCCCCAGGAGGGGCTGGTGACCTCAGAGGCAGGGTGGGGAAACTGGGGCTTATTCTCAGTATTTTACTCCCTCCTAGAAGTGCAGGTCTCAATGGAATTTGTTCACTGTGGCCCCTGCTGCTTCCTCAAGCCCTAAAAGGTGTCACTTCTCATGGCCTGCTGCAAAAAATGGCACCTTCCCCGATCCTCCCATCCAGTGCTACTTGCTAACCCTGGGACTTTGCCCGTGGTCCCCCCCTCCAGCAGGTTAGTGTCACAGTGATTAGGGTACCAGGAAAGGGCAGACTTACTCTCTTTCTGTGGGTCCTTAAACAGTGCTGTGACTCGCTGACCACCAAGGGGTGGAGTCAAAATCCCCGCACTGCGAGGGGCTCCTCCCACCGCCATCCCAGGTCCCCAGGAACTGAGTATCAGAGGAGGGACTGGTGTCCGCCCAGGGGGAGCATGAGAAAGTGTCCATTGTTTGGATAAAAGTTCCAAGCATGAAGGCTCACCATTGACTGAAATAATTTTTTCCATTGACCTCCTGGCTTCCCAGCGGGCAAGCGCCCGTCTCCCG